TAAATATATAAATGGGACAGCAGAGGGAAGAACTGTGTTAAAACAGCATCCACAAGTTTTTATTTTATTTTTTATCACTTTGTCTTTTTCCTTCCTGGGAAATCGCATGAGATGACCTCTCTTCCCTTGAATTTAATTTGTTCATCTGAAAAATGGAGATAAGACTAAATCCCTAGTATTTAGATAGTAAAACATTTGGATATCTCCCCCTTTAACAATTCTCAATGTTTGGCAGAAAAGAAGCAATAGCACCTAAGGAGTTAACAGCATAGAGCATTTTGCTAAATAATCAAAAAACACTAAACTCACATTACACCTATAAACATTCCACTGCCTTCACAAACCCATGTCCACATGAATCCACGTGTGTGTATGTGTACATTCTCATACACACACATCTATCTATTATCTATCTATCTATCTATCTATCTATCTATCTATCTATCTATCTATCTATCTATCTATCTCTATCTATCTATCTATCTATCATCTATCTATCATCTATCAATCATCTATCTATATCATCTATCAATCATCATCTATTATCTATCTATGTGTATATTTATATTCCTCCACATGCCTAGAGATCTATTTTTTTCTCTTGCATTTTATTAATTTTTACTATGGTGACATTGGTTAACAAAATCCAGTAAGTTTCAGGTGTACAATTTAACAGTAAGGCATATGTGTATATATATGTATGTACATATATTGCATTATGTTAGATAGCTATTTCACTGTATTTATAATGGCCTACATTTATAAATAGACACATTAGTGGATAAAACTGTTCAAATATATATTTAATATTCATGAATTTTAACATTTATAATTTTCTATAACTTCATTTTAAAGTAGCAAGGAATAGAAAATAAAGGTAATTGGCTCAAGAAAAAACACACATATGATATGAGAGTAGCCACTCACCAGATTTTAATTTTAAAAGTTTCCTAACTCACCAGAAACTTGGGACCATTCTTGAAACCTCTTCTTGCATCAAACCAACACTTAACCATTCTCAAACGTGCTTCCAAAACATGACATAATTATCTCATTTCTTTCTTTTGTATAGCCAATAAATAGTATAGTCCATTTCTCTCAGGCTTTCTAACTAATCATCCTCTACTCATTAGTGCCTCCCTCCAATAATTCTTCATTCTGTAGTCAGAATAAACTTTTAAAATTTGAAATATGATTTATTCATCACAAACAAAACCTTCTTTAAGAGCATCTTTTGTACTTAGAACAGAGACCCAGATCCTTATCTTAGCCATCAAGGTAAGGCATGATTAAGCCCCTATCTTAACTCATACCAGCTCACACCATTTCTCTCTCCTTTGTTCTTTTTAATGCAGCCAAATTTGTAGTATTTAAGTTCCTGGTTCTCACTAAGATACTTCCTGATATAGGATTTCCACATATGTTCTTCCCTGTTCCTTATGTCTTTCTCCACTTCCTATATAGTTCCTCGTTGCCTTATCAAAGCCTATCTGTCCTTCCCTAGTAAGACTTTTTAAGTGTCCATCATTTCTTAAGACTCCTCATTGTGCTACTTTCACATTTTGGGCTTTTCTTCTTATAAGTGAGCACAGTTAATTCAGCATTATATAAGTAGTTACTTCATATCTATCTCTCTTACTTGAATTACATTCCCTAAAAGAAAAGAATATTTATCTATTCATCATCTAATAGATCATATGCTAAACATATGTTAGCTTTTCCATATGTGTTGAATGAAGGAATGAAACGATGATTAAATGAATATGAATAATTGAATGCCATTCTTTTTTCCAGAAATCTTGCAAACCCTCATTCTCCTTCCTGATCTTCTGTATATGGGTTGAAAATCATTAACCAAGAGAATGATATGTTTTTCTAAGAAGGCCCAGATAAAAAAACTTAAATGAGGAGCCTTTGATAGGTATCATGGTGTCTTTGCTCTCACTTAAGTGCTTGCTTTGAGAAAAGAGAAAGAAAAATCTCTAGAATTGTTTTGAGAACTCTGAGTCTAGGTGGGGGTAAGGGGGTTATGGTCAGATGTATAAGATCAGGAGGGCTTTCCTGCTCATTCACCTCCTGTTTCTCTGTTGTGAGATAAGGATTTTCTATTTAGGAGACAACACTGTAAAAAGTGATTTTGCAGATTCTGATCTCTTAGAGGAATCTACGAAAGATTGTGCAGTCCATTTACAAAGGTCGTGCTGTGCGTTGCAAACAGAATCCAGATCGCTCTATCAGTAAATCACAGTGCTCAGATCAAAACAAAGCATCCTGTGGTGACTGTCTAACCCTCTAGCTGCACTTGAGGAAGGGGCGTTTTTATACTTTACATGCTAAATGAGAACCTTTCATTGCTGATAACCTCATCTCAAGCAATTCAGATGGCTTTCCCTTGGGAAGAATCAATTAGCTCACCCCTACTAGATATTTTTCTTGGAAAGACTTGAAAAATCTTTGATGTTCTCTGAATAAGTCCCGAGGGCCTGATAAAACACTGTTGTTTCATGGAAATTGTTGATTTTTGTTTTCCCCTTCCTTTTTACTGCTTTTGACCCTGCTTATCCAAATGTGTTTTTATCCCATCTTCTTTTTCCGCATTGTCTCTATTCTCCATCTTCCTTCTCTTTTCCATTCTCCCTAAATTTTCAGTCCCCTCTTTTCTCTAGTTCCCATTTTACTTCTCATTTACTCTTCCATCCAATCTTAATTTCATTCTTTTGTATGCACTAGATCCTCTCCCATAGTATGTCTTCTTTTATTCCGAATAGCAACATCTACATTTTACCTTTTCTCATTTTTTCTTTGCTTTTTGTCACCCCATGCATGACCCTCTATAGACTCTTCTCATCTGGCCTTATTATTTCTCTCGCTAGAATTTCTATGAGGATTTAATGAAATAATGTTCATAAATAATCCTACACAGAGCTTGTTATGTGGAGGACATGTAAAAAGATTTTAAGATTAATGTATTACCTGTATCAACCCCTGTGCTCCAGTTCAGGATTAATTTGGTTTCTTTCTTTCCCTGAGACTAGCAAACAGAGCACTTATATAGACTTCTCAAACCTCTGGTGGCATCTGGAGTCATCATGATTCTATAACAATTTTACAACTGCTCTGGAAAAATTCCTTGAGGAATGTTATGTAGTGCCACGTGGGCTATTCTACCCTGGTTACTCTAAGGACTGCAAAACCTTCCTTCACTTGTCAAATATCCTTTCTTCTGCCAAGACACCTCAAATTTTTCTTAATTTTGATTTTTCTTTTTTAAATTAAAGTTATTGGGTTGCCATTGGTTAATAAGATTATATAGGTTTCAAGTGTACAATTTTATAACACTTTGTGTGTTATATTGCATTGTGTGTTCACCACCCAATGTCAAATCACCTTTTGTCACCATGTATTTGACCACTTTTATCCTATTCTACCTCCCCCACCAACCTTTCCCTCTGGCATCCTTTCAGAGAAGTTTGAAAAAGACTGAAAGATCTACTTCAGTCTCAGTTTCAATGATGACATAGTGTTGTGATGTACCCTGAAATAGACTGGGGGTCTACTGTGGTTTTGGATGGAGAAAAGGATTGCTTGGGCTCTCCCTCAGGAACACAGAAGACAAAGTTCTTTAAATTTTTCGACTTGTTTGGTTTTATGGGTTGTTATTTCAATCTATTGAATATAATTAGTTTCATTTCTTTTAATGTATTTTTCTGTAATGATATTTTTTCATCAATAAGGTAATTCTTAATATTATAGAAACAGCTGGTTATTCCATCTGTGTGTGCCTTTGTGTGATTAGTCCTAAAGTTGTCCACAGACCCTTTCTACTACCTCTTCATGTCTCTTATGGTCTCATTTATTTTCCGTCATAGGCATAGTCACATTATAACAGCAGAAAACAAAAGTTAGATGTAAATAATTCTTATGATGATATTTCCTTTTTCAGGCATAATAGAGAATTATGGCAGAAGTTCATCTATTTATTTTCAATTTCTATACTCATTTCTTTCCCAGTGTGTATTACAACCTATAGGAAACCACCTAAACATTAAGAGCTGGTGCTTTATAATAAGTGTTTCTGTATATTTTAATAAGACTTTCATGACTATGTCTAGACAATACTATCTGTTATCAATAATGTGGAGAAGTTGGAATCTTGATGTGAGTATAAAGTGATTCAGCTACATTGGTAAATAGTTTGACATTTTCCTTAAAATTAAATAAATGCCTATCATACTACCCAATAATTCCTCTTAGATACCTGCCTAAACATGTATACACAAAGACAATATGCTAACTTTTGTAACAGCATTATTTATAATAGTAAAATGCTGTAAACAATTCAAGTGTATATCAACTAATAGATGGATAAATAAATATATTTTATTCATATAATGACATACTACTTAGCAAGGAAAAAGAATAGACTATGAATGCATACAGCGAAGTGGATAAAACTTAAAACATGTTAAATGTGAAAAGCCAGACACAAAGGCAATTTATTGTATGGTTACATTTATAAAATTTTGAGCAAATGCAAACTATAAAAATAGAAAGCATATTCATGGTTTTCTGAAGCTGTAGAGCCCCAGGGCTTACCTGTGTCAAGTACTATCAAGGAATCATTTTATGTGATATGAGTTTTAAAACTGGTTAAGGTAATAGTTTCATAATTATATCAATTTACTAAATGTCTTCAAATTGTATACTTAAAATAAATAAATTCTATGACTTGTAAATTATACCACAACACAATAAATAAATATAATAAAATAAAATAGGAATTAAAAACATCAGTAGTTAGGAGACTGTTGCTATAGTCCAAATGAGAAGTCATGGTAACTTTGCTGAGATGGTAGAGTGAAGATGAAGAGAATATGAAGTATGTAGAATATATTTTGGCTTGGACTCAATAGGGATTAGTAATAGATTAGTGTGATTTATTGAAATTAACCACAGGTAGATAGGAAGAAAAATATTGTTTCTGTTTTACAGCATTTATCATGCTAATTTTGAGTTTCTATATATTATCCAAGTGGAATTATCAAGAAGTTGATCGAGAGATCAAGGCAGAATTCAGGCCTGAAGACATACTTTTGGAGGTAATTGGTATGTAGATATTTAAAGCAATAGGACTTGATGATATCACTCAGTGAGAGAGAAGAATTAAAGTATAGGGCAAAAGACCAAATAAGAGACACACTAACATTTAGTGAAAAGAAAGAAGATAAGTCATCAGATATTAAGGAGTAGAAATTAAAGCAGGAGAGAAAATATGGTGTCACAAAAACAACACAGAAAAGAAAATAACTCAACATAAAAGCAGTTTTTCACTATATTAAATTCTTCTGAGAAAAAGAGTGAGATGAGGAATGTTCTCTGGGTTTAACAATAAGCAGGCCGTTGGTGACATCTGCAAAGATAGTTTCAGTGAAGTGGGAAAGAACTCTCACTGAATTGAGGAGAGAATGGAAAGTAAGTGGGACAGGGACTATAGACTACCATGTTAAAAGGCTTTTCTGTGAAATGGAGAAAGAATGAGGTGATAACTGGAAGGCATGGGGATACAAAGCAGGCTTTTCTTTTCTAGTTCCTTCCTTCCTTCCTTCCTTCCTTCCTTCTTTCCTTCCTTCCCTTCCTTCCTTTCTTTCTTTCTTTCTTTCTTTCTTTCTTTCTTTCTTTCTTTCTTTCTTTCTTTCTTTCTTTCTTTCTTTCTTTTTCTCCTTTCTCTCCTTTCTCTCTCACTCTTTCTTTCAAATTGTAGAGATTAGGCATTAAAGTATATTTCTATTTTGATGTAGCTAGTGAGGTACCATTTATGCAGGTTCTAGATTGATTGTATATTTAGAAGGTTGCCATCACAGGTTTGCATTAAAAGAACTAGGTCCTTTGAGATCAAGACAGAGAGACCAACATGCCCAGAAGCACGAGTCTATCTAGCTTTTGACCCTGGAAGCATCTCCAGGAAGAGTGATGATCATGTCTCCAGAGTATCATTCCAGAGGGAATCTGCGCCAGAGTACTCCTGGATTTAAATCTCTGGCTGTGCTGCTGGTTGTCAGCATGAAAAATAACTCTCATCTCTTAGACTAGACTTTGGGTGAGTTGGGGAGTAAACTGTGGTCTGGGTAATGCTTTCTCTGAGGATGCTGTCACAGAATGGAGGGGATAATAGTATGGACATTTCGTAGAAAAGTCCTTAAAGGTCAGGATTGAGTGGTAGGAGTGAAGGGGGTCACATATGTTGAATGCAGTCCACTGTTTAGTCTGGAATCTGAATTTGGTGGCAGACATTTTTTCCTATGGCTAAAAATTAATTTTCTCCTTTAGGACCAAAAAGAACTTTACAGAACAATGATTAAAGCACCTCATTTTAAGTTTTAGTTTAGGTTTTGGGTCAAGTTAATTATTTTCTCTGACCTTTGTTTTACTTAGTCATACAGCGGCAATAATTAACAGTACTTTTCTCATAAGGTTTTCATAATCATTAAGTGAGATAGTATGTGAAAAAGGCTAAAAACAGAACCTGCAGCATAAATTTGTATTCAATCAATATTAGGTGTTTTTGTTAAGGACTAAAATAATCTATAATGTTCACCCATTATACTTCCCATTGTCTACCTATGACATTATATAAACATATTTCTTATGATTTCTACATATCTATAAAGAGCCTAGAGAAAAATAGTTCTCAGCAAAAACTGTTTTTCCATTTTCTCCTCCTTTTTCATTAAAATATAAATAACAAGTCTAATTGTAGATATGAGAATTAAGTGGAAAGAATACCTACTAGTGCATCATTCTTTTATTTTATTTATCTAGGACCTGCTTCTAATAAATTCTTTACAGTAAGCATACATGATTAAGTGCAGAGTCACTGAGCACAGACCTACATATTCCACTTTCTTAAACACTGCTACAACCAGTACCTGCAAACTCAAGACATTCAATGTTGGGCTAAATTGGCTGAGGAATGGAGACATGTAGGCAATACAAAATTGGATAAAAATATATAAATGATATATGGGTCAGTAAGTACATTTAGCATCAAATAAAGAGATTTCATAGCTTATAAATATTTTGAAATTTGGGGTTGATTTTTACAGTTAACCAAACATTACAAAATTTATAGATAATGGATGAACATTGATTATAGATAAACTTTATTGAATGTTTATTATTTTCCTCGTGCTTATCTAAGTATGTTATCAATATTCCCAATGAATACTCTTAACAATTCCATGGTAGGTACTATTATTTTCACTTTAAAGAGTTGAAAAATGAAGCACGGAGAATACTAAATAACATGTTCAAGGTTGTAGAGCCAGGATTTAAATCCAGGTGGTCTTCTCTAGATCCTTTCATTTTAAAACTATTTTCCTATTCTAATTTCTGAAAGAGACAAAGAAAGATATAGGTAAAGAGAGACAAAGGTTATATAGTATATAAGTAAAAGATCCTTAAATCCAGTTGGATCTAAGATTTGTCAAAGGGTCAGCTAGAATGTTTGGCATTATTTTTATTCATTCATTCATTCATTCATTCATTTAAATTAACTGTGTTGGGATGACATGGGTTGATAAAATTATGTAGGTTTCAAGTATATGATTCAATAATACGTTATCTGTATATTGCAGTGTATGTTCACCACCCCAAATCAGATCTCCTTTTGTCATTAGATATTTGACTCCCTTTACTCTTATCTACCTCCACCCCTTCCCCCTTTCCCTCTGGTAACCACTAAATTGTTGTCTGTGTCCATGAGTTTCTGTTTGCCTGGTTCATTTGCTGCTTCCTGTTTTATATCCCACCATTTATAAACCATATGAGTAAAATAATATGGTTTTCAACTTTTTCATACTAATCAAAATAAGTCAGAAAAGATGTTAGTATTCCTTAAGTTTGCAGTCTATAAGACCAATTTTTCAAATTTCAATGGCACTTCCTACAATAATGAAAATATTCTACATCTGTACTATCCTATCCAATACAGTAGCTACTAGTCCTGCTGAGGAGTATGGCTATTAAACACTTCAAATATGATTTGTACGACTAAAATGTTGATATTTTAATTTAATAAATTTAAATGTAAATAGGCAAATGTGTCTAGTGACTACCATATTGGACAGTGTAGCACTAAACTTCAACTTTCAGGAACATTGCAGTAACTCTTTCTTGTCTCCATTCATTCCTAAGTATCTAGAGATCTCTGCCCCTTGTGCCCAACCCTAGATTTTGTCTAGAGACTTTGCTCCTTCCTCTAAACCAGACTTCTGTTCTATTTTCTTTAACCTGGGTCCTGAGTTGGGCTTCAATAATATGTGAATTTTTTAAACTTTGCTTGTAGTGTGTGTGTATGTGTGTGTGTGTGTGTGTGTGTGTATGTGTGTACATTTTTATTTGGAAGTCCCTCTATGAGATTCTCATGAGGGTCATAATATAAATAAGGTTAAGAGCTAGTACAACACTACTTTTTCAATACTGAATCCTTATCAATTGTGTAGCTTAGAATGTCCCCCAAAAGTGACTACCTCATCAGCCTATTTGGATATATCTTCTTAAAGATAATGGCCAATAATTGAAACAAAAGAGAGCTAACTATGTGGCACTAAGATTTTAATACTGATCTTTGTCACTGCAAGTGTTAGGCATTAATGTCTAGATTGTCCCATAGGTCTATTTAAGCCTGACTCAGAGTTATAGTAAGAAATATAGTTACTGGTCACTCAAAGTGGAGTTCGCAATAACAGCCATCTAGTGATATGACATGCAGAGAATGAGAAGTCTCTATGGAGGAACAAGGAAACTTAAGTCCAGCTGAGTTTCTAATGCCTGGCACATTGACTTCACCAATCTGAACAATGTTTGAACCAGCCTTTTGGGAGAATCTCCATGGATGGATTTTATCTATCTGAACCAGTTGTTAGTTGCGGAACTCTGCAAATACTAGAGGGCATTTTGCTTCTTCAGGAGTAGCCGAGAAATTGATCTCAGAATTCCCTTCCACATGTACCTTAGGACAGAGAAGTCTAATTGCAATGAAGAACTCACTGTAGAAAAAGGTGGAGCCTGAGTAAATGAGATTGAATGGGAAAACTTGGAATAATTCTGAAAAAGTACTAAAGTAAATCTTCTCTGGCTCTCCTGACTATTAATTTTCTACTTTTATCATAATAAATTACCACAAATGCAGTGCCTTAAAATAACATATATTTACTATTTTATAGTTCTGTAGGTCAGAAGTCTAACATGGCTCTTATAATGGATTAAAATCAAGGTGTCAGCAAGTCTGAATTCTTTTCTGAATATTCTGTGGAGAATTCTGTTCCCTTGCCTTTTCCAGTTTCTAGAAGCTACCCATGTTCCTTCGTTCCTGGTCCCCTTCCTTTATCTTCACAACTAACAAGTCATATTGAATCTTTCCCATGTGGCTATCTCTCTGGTTCTCTGCAGCTGGAAAATTTTCTTCACTTTTAGGGACTCACATGATTCGATATGACCTACTTCTATAATCCAGTATAAACTCCCCATCTCAAGATTAACTTTAATCACAAAATCTCTTTTACCAGTGTAAGCTAACATATTTCAGGTTTTAAGGATCAAGATGTGAGCATCCTTAGAGACCATTTTTCTGCTTACCAGGAGGATCCTTCTAAAGGTCTTTGGAAGCCAAATTAATTTCTTCCTCCATTACCTGCTGCACGCAGGTTCTTTTAGTACCCATATACTCCCAGGAATGCAGAAACTCAGAGCTTTAAAATCCTTAGAGTATATTTATTTCCTCTTCTGTCCTATATCATGCAAGTAGAAAATTTGAGTCCCAAAGAAAATTGTGTCTGAATCACAACAATCTAAAATCACAATCAAGACACACATATATGCACACACATCTGCATATCTGTGTTTATGAGCAGCCCTTATGTCATGTTTGTGCTAATGTTTTCTTTGTGGTTATTGGCGTCAGTGTTTATTACCCACAGAAATGTACAATGTCAAATTCTTTCTTATCAAGGAAGCAAGACAGCTAACTCCTTGATGTTTTTAGATGAATTCTATCTCTCTTGGGTGAGGTGTTGGTTGAACATTATTTTTCTTTCTCCTAGGTATTGTAGTATATGATGTTCAGTAATGCAATTATTGCTCAGTAGGGCAAGGCTGTTCATTTCTGTATCAGACTGTGGACATGAGTGTGTTGAAATAATATTTAAGTCACTCCTTCCTGTGGCTACCATCTCATTACTTATTGCCACGGATTCTAATTGAAGACTGGTTAACTCAATGATTTTTTCTCTTTCTGCCTAGTCAAACCTTCATTCT